CTTTATTTGATACACAATGATTAAAAGTATGTTTTTTAATTAATTTAGCAGCACGTTTTGGATCGCTTACAAGCTGCATTTTTTTTCTGAATTCCACACGTTCCATACAATTGTCTTAATAAAAAAAAAATATATAATATTAATATAATTTATTAATTAGCTATAATATTATTTTCGTATTCACCAAAAACAAAATTAACCAAAAAAATCTTTTTCGAAATAATTTTGAGCATTACTCAATTACTGCATTAAATTTAATATATTTATTAAGCCAAAGGGACTGATTGAATTCTAACACTTTATGCACTTGTAATTATTATCATTGTTATTATTTAAATATAAATACTATTTTAATTTTTAAATGTTACCTTTTTAACTATAAGACCATTTGCCATGGCTTGCTTTAAATTTAAATAATGTACAACATAGTTTTCTTTTCTTTCTAAAGTCGTAAGTAATTTTTTATTTCTCAAATTAGGGGGGCATTTGGTCTTTGGAGGGAACGGCATTTCATCATGGATGCCATGAAGTTCTTTAGGCTATGCAATAGTCACTTCTAAAGCGAGCCATATGGGTGAATCATCAGTCATCTCGCGAACTTATTCCAATAGAGATTCTTGGTCTTGTTCGATCCATTTAAACCCACCTTATGGCAAAAATTGTGACATAGCATATCCGTATAGATTATTTACATCTAAATAAATAATTTCAGACCTGGGTTTAGCAGCATCATAATCCTTCGCTTTTGTGTTATTCGCCTTAGCATATTTCAATACAGATGCCGTTAAACCACCTCTAATGCCCCTTGAAGTAAAAATTTGTTTTTCATAGTCAGATAAGAGTTTGAGCTTTATTCCTGTATGAAGTAGCATTGCATTGAAAGCAAGTCCTGGGACGGTATAATAATAAGATGCCTCTGTCATAAAAATAAAAGAGGAAGAGAGAGATGAAAGAATTAAATAATCGAATATATGTGATATTTATATTTTTTTCATAAAAAAAAGATGAAGGAATAATAATATAATATAGATGTTATGGTTAACGGATTGTTGAAGTACGTTTAGCTACAAGGTGAAAATAAAGCATACGGTATATAATCATGAATTCTTTGTTAAGATACTACTACCACACATGGTTTGTCGTAAAATGTAAATTGAAGGAAAATTACATTCGGATGAGGCACACCTGAGTAATATTCTACAATGGGATGTGCAACGATTATGGAGGAGGATTTTACGACTCTTAATATTTATTGGTCATGCTATATGAATGGGAAACAGTTTGTGTTCACGTAAAATGCTACTGTCCAATTGTTGGACGCCAAGCCTTAATGGCTGAATTATTTTCTTTATGTAGATGTATAAACTTCTATGATTATAATTATTTATACAATAAAGTTAAAAATTATAGAATAATTATAGAATCGTTGCTGTTGTCCTGGTGATCAAATCCGTTGTTGTTGTTTTGCGTAAAAATGTCGAGATTTTCTTCAACAGGTAATCCTTGTGAACAATCCTTTTGAGGTGAAGTCATAATTCAATTGATGCGAAAAAAAATTGAGTACTGTGTAAAATCAAAAAACAATCACGAGCACACTGATTTTTTTAAACGCTTGTTATACCGATAATTATTATCCACCTTTAGCAATTCTATTATTCCCTCGATAAACGTTATTCTTGATTTATCTTAAGTCTATTTTTAATTTTCATGACATACTTAAAAATATAATCTCTTACCTTGTGTCCAGCTAGCTAGCTTGATCGTTAGTTGTAAAAAAAATATAATAAGAAGACTTTTTATTTTATAATCTTATAAAAGTTGTTAAACTCGAAATATTACTTCACTTAAATTCCTTTCTACACTTGGTATCAGAACATATATGTTCTATTATATTTTTAAATAAAAATGTATAGAACCAGATAGATTATGAGAACCAATCCCTAGTGACACGTCATAAACTATTGTTTTATCAATAATTTCAACCGCTAGATGTGCTAGGGTAATGATTTCATCAAACTATCAATATTTTATAAAATTATGTATTTGATATGAGAGTCGACAGAGTTGAGTCCATTCAGTAACATGTTTTTTTATTGAAAAGTTAAATTGTTCTTGATATTTATTGGATGTATCATAATTAATGATTTTATTATATTTTATATTAACAATTGTTAGTAACCAATAATTATTTAAATGAAATGGAAATATAATAATTTTAGTGTTGTTAATTTATCTGGATTTGTAATATTTAATGTTTTGGCACTGATATTTTTCAATAAAAATACTGAGTCAAATATTTTAAATTCATTAGGTGATATTGATTGTAGCATTTTCATGTAAAAGTTGATCATATTGTGTGAGTAGTGCATTTTAATGGTCTATTTGTAATTCTAATAAAAATTACACAAAATATGAGATTATATTGAAGTAATCTTGATTGAAAAATTGATTGAAGTTTGAAGATATGTTTAAAATAAAATTTATATAATTATAATGTTAAAAAAAAAATTATTTATGATTGTAGTATTATTAGAATTCAAAAAAAAATTTAGTCTAAATACTAAATACTAATTTTTAGTATAAACTACTACGATTATAATTATTTATACAATAAAGTTAAAAATATTAAAATATGTTGAAATAACTTATCAAAAAAATTGTGATATTACAATTATTATTATAAACTGATCAGCCCCAATCTCTCTAATTAGTGGACTACTAAAGGGGTAGAGTTTAGATCCGTCAGCACAGTCTAGCTCAAAAGTAGCAGACTGAAGGGTGGCTCCTTGTCAGCCACCAGCACAACTACTTTTTTACACACAAATTTTAAGAACACGGTGAATATAAAATATTTGCGCTAAGCCCAGATTTTTAAATAGTTATTTTATTTAAGAAACGTATTAAACACAAAGACAAATATAATATAAAAATTTAACACAAAAATTAATTAAATCTTACAAAAATATAAAGTTATTCTTACACCAACGACCTAACTCGTAACTCCACGTTTCTTCGACAAAACGTCCAGTCCCGTCTCGCCCAGTATCGTCTCCCTATACTTTTCATGTTTCCCTTTTATATTCTTTTTCCCACCATTATTAATTTGCTTACCCTGCATTTCCCTTTTATATGGAATTATTATATTGCTTAAGAGTTCAAAAATTGCTTACTACTATTGTAAAGCTTTATTATACTAAAATCGACGTAATTCAATACTTCCTCATCTAATTACTACAATATTTATAATGTTCCTCTGTCTTATGGATTAATAATTAACTCACTAAATGAATACAAGTTTATTGGTTTATTAATATTTAAAATATTTTTCTAAAATATTATGCTGATATTTTCTACAATTAATTATCATTTTAAATTTATAACAGTTAGACTAAGTGCAAATGGAGTACTTCTCCCATAATCATCAATTGCTCTTATGGCTATATAAAACATGCCTGATTGGTGAAATAAGATGTCACATGCTATTGGTAGTCGCAGACTAGGTACCCGCCCTATTAAAAACCAAGATGCTGTATTTTCCTCTTTTCTATGACCATATTTCTATTCATTATTACTTTGTGTGTCGGAGTTGGGGGAATTTTTTTTAATCTTAACGGTGCTGGTGATGGTGGATATGTCAATTTTTGTTTTCTTTTTTTTAGTCTATAAATGTAAAATGTGCAAAATATATATAAAAGTATATGACATACATATATAATAATAAATAGTAATATTTATTCATAGTATAATGAAGTGAAATTTCTAGTTTTACTTATGTACTACAAATATAAATAATAAGAATATATTCGAGTAAAGTATTTGGGAGATCAAGATATACAGGGTCCTCCAATAATCATATTAACTAATCATTTTATACCGTTGTTTTCTGATTCGGCCTTTGAAAGTCGAATTTGTCAGTATGAATGGAAGGCCGCACCATTTCTTAAAAAATACAAAGGCAAATTAAATCCAAAGATGTTTTACTTATTGTTAGAAAAATTTAAAATATTATGAATACCTATATTATTAATATTGTAAATCAGTGTAAATAAAAACAAATTTTTTATAGTAATTATGGCTTTTTATTTTTCAATAGATTATACAAAGGATTATATTTTCCTTTTTTATTTATATAGTTATATTTATCGGCCAATTGATCGCCGCTCTGTACACCCGGAGAATATATCGCATGTATTTTATTGACCTCATTTTGAGTTGCTTTCCTCTCGTCTTTTTCTAATCTTTGACTTTTCCATTGATTGTCCGTTAAAATGCCACCAAAGTGAAGGGCATTGTATCCATCAAAATAAAACCGTTCTCTCATTACCATATAATCCGGAACTGGAGGTAATGTCTCATCGGCACTTTTTGCAGCGGCTGTCGGACTGGTTGTCGACGTAGGTTTCAGTGTAGTAGCAATAGGTGGTATAGTAGTAGTAGTAGTAGAAGATATAGGTGATGCAGTTGTACTTGTAGAAGCCAATAATTTTTTTTTGGCGGCCAAATTTTCTCTAACTGTGTTGAAAACGGCCGCCGCAATTAGTTTTCCGCGTCGATTGATTTCAGAGAGTGTTTACCGTAACATGTAGAGTAATTGCCATCGGCTTCGGCCACTCCAGCGGTTACCGCCATTGTAAACAGCTCTTTTTCTATGTTCACATTGCAATCTTTAAAACGAGCCATGACCGTAGGGTAACCAAACTTTACTATACACGTTGTTTCGACTGTATAATAAGCTTCAATGTCTAAAAATTTTGTAGGTACAATATTATTATCTTTGGCCGTAATTTTGGGAACGGGATACACACCGACATGCAAGGAAGGCTGTGCTTCCGACGGTGTATAGTTTTTATTTTTTTCCACTAGTACATGCGACAAGTCTATTAACGATATATGACGACTCGAATCAACATAAGTCCAACTTTTCGAGTTTTCATTCACCGACGAGATGTCCATTGTTTTACTATTTATATTAGTGGAACTATATTTATCTCTTTTAATTTTCAAAACAGCCGACCCGCTCGGGCAAAAATAGCTTGTTCACATTGAAAATAATTACTATTACTGGTGTCTGGCCAATAGTAAGTTTGATAACTGTTTAACGGTCGTCTCAAAAGACCAATTTTGGGACTATATTCGTAATTGACTATAACGGTGCCAACAGCAGCATTTGCGTCAAATTTATTTATGTGTCTGTTTAATCGGGGCCACTGATACCCACTTTGTGCGCCCGTATCCGTATACAATGTAAAATAATTTTGTAAAACAGTTGGCAAATTCATGAAACTACAAGGTAGTGTGTCCTGAGGTTTACTCGTACTGGAATACCAAGCATCGTGCTGTTTCGAGTACGAATCGGGTGCTGAATCTTTAACATCCTGTGGTTCCATAGAATTAGAAGCCACTGTAGTGTACTTTTTTGTCACTCCTGGAACTTTTTTGTTCAATCCAACAGCGTAAACTCCCCATTTATTTTGATTTAATGTGGCCAATTCTGATTGTGTTGTAGCCGTTTCATAAGCCGTTCGAGCGCCCCGCAAAATAACTTTACACATTACCTTATCAATGTAACTGCCCGGTGGTAATATTTTTATTTCGTCCGATGTTAGGTACAAATGACACCTGTCCACTGGAATTTCCGCTAGAGATGTTGTTCCCCAAAATGAGTTGCCAGTATGTTTAATAGGCTTCCATTGTATTCCATACGATAAAAATTCATGATTTTTTGAAAAAACCAAGTACTTATTTTTTGTATCATCAATGGGTCGAGGTATAACCATGTGTAACATATCGACAGCAGAAGCGTTACCAGCGTCAGCGTTAGGACCGATACCCGGAATAGTCGTACTAGCAGTGAGGGCTTCTGCCGTTCCATAATTTGGTTTTTTTTCTGAAGTTCCTCCAGTATCGAGACCAGCTTGTTCAGTAGTACGTTTGTCGCCAGATCCTGCTGCACTTCGTTCTGCTCCGGACATTGTTCTTTCGGAATTCTCTTCCACATGTGACTCCAATGGCAATTCTACAAAAAAAAATAAAAAATTTTAAGAAAGCTCAAAGTTTTGAGTAAAAGTTCAAAAAAGTTCAAAGTTTAATATTTTATTATTTTAAAAGTAAGCTATTGTCAAGACCTTCCACGTGTAGACGTACCGAGTCTGTATCTTAAAAACTCTATTTTATACGATTTTTTAAACATTTTAGTGCAAAATATGAAAATCAACGTACTATACGACTAGTATATACTACCTACGTTTTTTCGGTCGATTTTACAACAAAAATTTTTTTTTGCTTTAAACTTACAGAAAACACTCGGGATACCTAAATATACGTAAAGCAATGACTTTTGAGCATTTTTGGACCAAAAAGTTCAAAGTTCAAAAAAAGTTTAAACTTTCGAAAAAAGCTTTTTCGTTTAAAATATCGTTATTTATTACCTTTACGTCTTGTTTTGGCGTTGGTAAACCAATCTATAGGTTGAGCAGGCTTTTCTGAATTAGGATATAGAGCTTTTGAATTTCCGGTTATTCCTTGCCAAGTCCTTTCCAAAAAATGTTTTGCATACAAGCCAAGAGCCGTTGCGTATTTACCGCCGAAATTAGAATTTTTTACGTTCAACGACCTGTTAGCTGCTTGCAGATCGTAATTTCCTATTTCTTCAATGTTACCCGTGCCTGCATTATGATATTGAACGTCGTGTTCTAAAGCTATCCAGTCTATCTCGTTTGTTGGCAGGCTTTCAGCAATAAATTCGTTTTTTTCATTTGCAACTTTATTACCTGGTCCCGAGAAATCGTGTCCTAACCACGTCAAACCACCGTTTTTCCCCGTATTTTGTTTGTTAATGTAGTCACGATACGTGCCAAGTGCAGTAGTATACACTTGCATTATGCAAAATTTAATGCGAATACTGACCTTTTATACTAATANGGTCGTAATTTCCTATTTCTTCAATGTTACCCGTGCCTGCATTATGATATTGAACGTCGTGTTCTAAAGCTATCCAGTCCACTTCATTTGTTGGCAGGCTTTCAGCAATAAATTCGTTTTTTTCATTTGCAACTTTATTACCTGGTCCCGAGAAATCGTGTCCTAACCACGTCAAACCACCGTTTTTCCCCGTATTTTGTTTGTTAATGTAGTCACGATACGTGCCAAGTGCAGTAGTATACACTTGCATTATGCAAAATTTAATGCGAATACTGACCTTTTATACTAATACACTTCGTATTTTAAAAAGTTGTTTTCCTCAAACTGCGCAATAAAATAATAATANACACTTCATATTTTTAAAAGTTGTTTTCCTCATACTGCGCAATAAAATAATTATACTCGTTTTTATATTTCTTAGAAATTTACATATGTCATTATTAACAACTAGTTATTTATTACTAACGTTGCCAATAAACGCATTTGCTTTAACGAGTGCATTCACCTGCATTTATTAATCATGCTGCATGCTTGCTCAAACCTTCGTGTGTAGTGTTGCCGCCCAGAGCATCAGTTGGCTGATCGGTCACTCCGCCCATACCGCCACCTGTGGTCGTGTATGTACACTACACTGTGATTATGGTCCGCCACTTTACAATTAACCTCACTGAATTCTAATTTACATAAATCGAAATTTTGTTTTAGGGAGTGTTTTATGATCTTTTCAGCCGTCATAACAATTGGTAAATTTGTTTTAAGAAGCTCTTCGATTTTTAATCGAATTCACCAGGATTTATATGTTGTGGTCTCATAAAATTGTTGACAAAATAATTCCATTCCATTCTATAATATAATATTTATTTGTTTACTCCATGGTTCATAATATATTATGTTTTGTGTTTTTGTAAAGAAGGTGCGTGTATTATTGATCATTTTATTAATTATAACTTATTAAATTCTTCTTTTTTTTTTTTAAATTTAATATAAATTACTTGATATTTACACTCTAACGGTATTTGATTAAAATAAATCTTATCACGGCTTTTTATTTTTTTTATCCCTTGGCAATTCAATATATGAGTTAGCAGACAGTTGAGTATATTTGTAAACACCTAGAAAAATCTATCAATATTTCTAAACGAGTAATTGCTCCCCTTGCCTGCATAATTTTCATGTTCGTTATATAATTTGCTATCTTATTATCTGATATTTACTATCTCATCGATATTGCTAGCATTAAATAATTCCACAGCGCTAGTTTTAAAAGAATGATTTTCATTTGTATTATCCTGATTTGGTATGTGAAAGGTGGCTTCTAATTTTAAATTGAATTTTATAGCTCCAAAGTTAACTAAACATTCTTTTAATTTTTCTATCAACTCGTTTTTTATTTGGAATAAAAATGATTGGTAACCATCAATGTTATCCAATTTTTTTTTTTAAACTATAAAATATTTTTTAATGATGACCCTATTAGATGAAAATCATTCGATGTAACCCTATTTTGTTTTGTTCGTCTATTCCTAACTGAATTATCATTATTAGTACTTGCATGTCGCTTCCTAATCAGCCCACTAGTACTAGGTCGTGTGACACACACACTTTATATCTAACACTTAATATATATTAACCTAATTATTATATCTACATACCGCATGACATTAAAGTTCCTGAATCTGCGTGATTTCCTATCGCTATGTTATAATCAATTCCATACTTTGTAAGATCTATTATATTTTAAGTACGTTATGATTTAATAAATTATACTTTTAAAAATAATGAAATATTTGTAATAATCTCGGTGTTGTTTTTGAACGTGACACACAAGTGCATTTTTATCTGAAAATGTTGAACTACATAAATGACATGGAAATCTCACATCATCATGTTTTATTTGATAAACTAAACTTCTTTTAACAGAAAAAGTTTTTTCACATTTACCACATGAGAACATTTTTGATAAAACTAGTTAGCTCAGTTTCGCGTTTCACCAACTATTAAATTCTGAGTAAAAATCTTCCTTTATCTTTACAAAGATAGATGGCTAGTTATGCGCTATAAACATAAGGCAATTAACTTAATGCTGCATATTTTTCGTAACTTGTTGATGAAATACAAAATCCTATTTTTAGTTATTTTTGAACTTGATCATCGAAAAATAGCGTGATAAACGTATATATCATATCTAAAATTTTATGTTTTTTTATTTTGATTAAAATATTTAAATTCTATGAATATAGATTTTTTTTTAATTCTAACTTAATCCTTTATAACGACATATGTTGTAATAAACATAGGATATATAATAAAAGGAGAGTTATATTTAAATTTGAATAAATGATTAGAATAGATACGTATAGATTGATATCCTATTATCTGGTAGGCACGTGTATAAAAATATTTTGTGATGGATGGTAGTTAATATGAAATCTTAAGCATATGGGTAACCCCTAAACTTGATACGGATGTTGTTATTATGAATGTGATGGAAAACTGATAATCCTGGTTAGAAAGCATGCTTATAAGTTATTATTGAGGTGAATATAATACCTATGCACTCGAACCTGTTGGCCATCACCAGTAGCGCAACTAGGATTATTTTGAGGGGGGTGTCTGCCTCATTAAAATACCTTACCCCGTAACATATTTCAAAATACGTCTCTGGTATCGAGTTTTTGATAAACTAAAAATGCATAATATCACAGATATAAATCTTAAAAAATATATATATATTTTCAAATGTTTGTTTCAGAGCTTAAAAATATTATGTTTTGTTACATATTTATAAATAATTATAAATATAACTACTTTAATAAAAATTACAATCAATTTTTAAAAACATTTTATATTACAAAATCTAATCGTCTTTTTTTCTCACTTAACTGTTTAATAATTTCATCTGTAGTAACTGTAATTTCGCGGTGAATATTCAAAGCTGCTAATCCATTAAGTCTAAATGCTGATATAGAGTTTCTGAGATAAGTTTTAACTCTTTTTAGAGTTGAAAATGACCTTTCAGCTTCACATGAAGTTACAGGTAACGTTAAAAGAATTTTCAACAATTTATACACGTTGGGATATAGATCAATATTGCAATTACTAATTACTTCAATAGCAGTAACCATTTTTAAATTGGTTTCGACACGTAATTTAAAAACTTGATGATGCCAAATTTTTACTTCAGCTAAAACATTTGATGAATTTTCTACATCGTTAGCATAAAATTCCGCCAAATTTTTTATTAATTTTTCTTGTTGTTCAGTAAGAGGTGCAATCGGGAAAAGCAATTGAAAACCTTGAATAATTTCATTATGATTAATAAATCTGTCATTTAACTGACTAATAAATGTATCTAAAAAAGGTATAAATAAAAAAACTTTAAAATAATCTTGAACTGTATTATTGGGAGTATTCTGACTATAAGTGTGTCTTTTTGTAATTCTTGGAATTTTTATCTCAAAATCTAAATCATTTGATTTACTTTGAAGTTCTTCAAAACATTCTAAGAACTCTTCATCGACATTATTCCTAATTGAATTTATTTGAAGTATCACATTGTTGACATATTCTAGAGCTTGAATAAGATCTATGTCAGGTTTTTGTAAGTATTTGCATAAAGATACAGTATACCGAAATATTTTTTTTAAAACAATAAGACTTACATTAAATTCACAATTTTTTAAAGCTAATAATAATATATGAGCTTTAGTAGATGTTTCGTTGTCTGCCCAACTAGTCATTTCTTCTAAACACGAATGGACAGCAGGAAGAAGTTGATCAAACACTTCTACTGAGTCATGCCTTTCAACCCATCTTGTCATACATAATCGTTTTAGTTTTTCTTTATGAGTATTTTCTTGATTCAGTTCTTTGACATGTTTTGAAAATGCAGCTTGTCTTTTTGGAGTATTTAAAAATACGAAAACTTTTTCGATTGTACCCATAGTATTTCGAATGGATTGTACACCGCAAGCATAAGTTATAGCTAAATTTAAACTGTGCGCACTGCAATGAACATATATAGCAGTTTTATATTCTTTTTTTATGCATGATTGTACACCATTGAATCTCCCACTCATCGATGCAGCTCCATCATAACCCTGTCCTCTGATGTACTGCATTTCAATTTTCATGTCAGTAAGTTCTTTAATAATTATACTTGCAAGTGCGCTTCCACTTAAGTCCATAACAGGTACAAATTTTAAAAATTGTTCTTTTATTATTTTACTTTTAGAATCAAAATAACGAACACATAACGAAAATTGTTCAATGCCAGCCACGTCTGCCGTTTCGTCAGCTATTACCGAAAAACATTTACTATTATTGATTTCATCAATGATTTTAAATAAAATAATATCATGACAAGAACTGATAATTTCGTTTTGAATCTTCCAACTTGTATACTGCGCGTTTTTTGCACAATTTGTTCTTGCCAATTCGTAAGATTCATCACCAGACAACTTTGTCGCATTCATATGAAATCGCATTAAAGCTCTAAAGTTACCGTCATTTTCTATTGGGTTTTCCGTCGTTAGCATTCCAAAATCCCGATGTCCGCGTAAGGCAATTCCCTGTCTTCCGCAAAAAACCACAGATTCGATTACTGGAATAATTATTTTTCTATTCAATTCTTTCTGCATTTTAGAAGCTTTATTTAATTGTAAATCTATTGAATCTTGTTTTCCAGCTTCAATAGCAACAATGTTCTGATACTCTTCAACTGCTTTGAGGTGATAATTACACTTTTCGTGAATATTAAATTTTTCTATTGCTTTATACCAAATTTTAAAAGGCTTAAGACTAAAATTACCCAAAACCTGAGAACCTCCTTCCGTTTTATTAAATATAACACAATACTTGCAATACGCGCCGTCTTCTTTATGTGAATACGCCAACCAAATCCATTTCTCCAACCAACTAAATTGAAACTTCAATTTTTTTTTGTTTTTAAATTCTGTTGTTGGGAAAATAAATGTTTTTTCTGGGGTCCATGTGTTTTGAAAAAAATCTATTTTTTCTTTATTTGATAACTTTTTACCAACACATAATTCAATATCAAATAAACTAACCTGCAGATTATCGTGCTGACAATGTACATTTTCTATTTGTTGGCTTAAATCATCTTCCGGACAAAATTTCGCATTATTTGTATTTAATTCCTGCCGCGGTACTTTTTTGGCAAAAAAGTCAGTTATACTTTTATTAACACGTTTACTCATTTTACGAAACAGTATATTATATTGTAAGATTAGAAATACAAAACCTAATCACGTTTATATAATATCTTATATCGCACATGCACACAAATACGTAGATAACTCAAAGAACCGACACTGAGAATAAATATCGGACAACTGATGTTATTAATTTATCAATATTATTAGACTTAATATAAACTAATAATAACTTAGATGGCCACGTGGTCGGTTTTCGTATTACAAATTTACATCAATATCTAATTGCCTATCATAAAAGATAAGAACCTGAATAATGTAAATTATTTCTAAATATAATAAAAATAAAAATAGTTTACATCAAGATTCAAATAATATTCTTATTTTAACCAAGATAAATATTTCTGAATTTATACATAAATTATTATGGACTTTCATAATAATATTTTAAACCATTTGTTCTGATAAATCGTCTGCATTATGAAGACTGCAATATTATGATTTTTATGTTATAAATTTAATATAAATAGATCACTTTTCAATAGTTATTAAATAAAAAATACGGTCCAAGGGGGGTGTCCAGACACCCAAAACACCCCCCCTGGTTGCGCCACTGGCCATCACACACCAGAATGCTTATTTATGTTATATAAAGATATTGTTTAATTTAGTTGTATATTCTTTTAATCTCAAACCGTTGATAAATAATCACGTTTCCCCGCTTTTTATTACATTTCACATACCTATTATAAGTTTCTTACTTTATTTATTACTATATACTTCGAAAAATAAGTATAAAAAGGATGTACTGCATCTAAAAATCGAATATTACGTTTTGTGAAGTAATAATGTTATAACGTTTAAAAATTTAAAAACAAAAAATGGAAGTACTAAAGCAAAAACTTCAATGTCAAGTGAGAAATAACGTTAAATCTATTGGAGACCTATCAGTCAATAGAAAATATGCTATACTGGTGATGTGGAGAGTAGAAAAAAAATTTGGTCTATCGATAAAATGTCGTCTATCAGATACTGGTGTAAATACTAATGCAGATACATGTACAATTTAAATATATTTCATTAAAAAAAAAGTTAAAATAGTTATTTCATATTTATAATATAAATATAATATTTTCTAAGGTAAAACGTCTGTGAAAAATTTGAAAACAATTATGGATGAATTTTTCGTATATTTACTTAAATGTATTAATATAACGAAAGAAGACTTTCAAAGTTCTAACTTGACTACAGACAAGAAATTACATCTGATATACAAGAGGAATACGGATAGCAACAAATTTATAAGTAGTGTATAAAACAAAAAAAAAAAAAAAATATATATATATATACACGCACACACACTCACTCACGTTTGCTGATATAGATATATATATATATATTTATTATTACGATTATTTTTTCCATATACTTCTCCCACACGTATTGTCCGGGAACGCGCACCGACGGGGTCGGGTCNCTTCTTCAATCCGATTCCTAAAATAAAAATATGATTATAATTTTGTGTTATTTTATACAACAATTAATTTGTACACACTTTACTCTGTACCAACTATCCTCTTATCATCATAACGGTTTAGTGCAAGTTTTCTAGTCTTCATCGTTTTTATTTTATGTTTGATTGACCTGAATGATATCATCTCCCGCTCAGCAGAGTAATTATCGTCTACTTCTTGAATGTGTGGGGTAGACAACCCCTTGAAAAGACATTGTTTATGATCCATTAACGTGACATGATTACTAACTACAATCTTAGACACCCCTTTGGCCTTGATTTTCTCTTTACCGTCCATTTCGTATCCATATGATTTTGACCTGAGAGCAATAAGTTCAGCTATGATTTTTCCAAGGGCTTCGTCTACACACACACATTAAATAAAAATAGAAATATTATTATTATTATTATTATTATTTAAAATCAATATACATTTAAAAAATAATGTAAACCTGTAAAGGTCCCTGGTAATTTAGCGCGTTCTGTTCGATAACATTTATGATTAGGATCTAGGTTTGAGGTATCTAATTTTTCTAAAAAGCCAGGTTTCTTTAATACATCATCGTAAAAATCTTCTGTATGTATGAAATAAATGAGTGAATCTATACAATAACCATTATTATTTTTAAGTTTTAAATTATATATATATAATTTTTATTTACCTGTGTCCATATAACAAAGCTCGATGTGTCCATTATACATTTTTCTCATGGTGTTGTAATGAAAATCATACATCAATGTTTTTGATATTTCTAACACGCTAAAACCAGCATATATAGGTTTATCAAAAATAAGAGCATCGTGAAACAAGTGAATGGCGCAGAATTCATCAGTATAATATGTAATGTATTTAAAATTTGGTTTATTAAATAATCGCTGAGCTGTTTGAGCATTAGATACCAGCTACATTTTCATTCTATTTCTGCATGACTCCATGGTTTTTCCTATAAAATTTAATCGCGTTAGAGAGCATAATAATTTATCTTTTTTTTAATTTTAAATAATTACCAAATACGGCGTTATTCATTAATTTAAAGAAATCTTTAAAAAAATCATTAGTAGCCAACTTTCTTCTCTCCGTGTTTACTTTAATGTATTTTGATAGCCATGCGCTCTGTTTAAACTGTAATACTCTGTGTATTTTTTGAGTCTTTTTTCAGTTTCAACCCAACGTCCATAGCCTGTTTCAAAACAGTATAGTGTACAGTATAATTTTTTTTATTAATTAAAGTAGTACAAAGTTTAGAAACTAATGCCCCTGGTGGCAAAAACCTTTCACACAAGTAAGGTAGGTCAGTGTGTGTATCGTGTAAAGTCTGAGGATAATCAACGTCCACCTCCATAATATAGCCGGTGTTTGAGTTCGATCCGGTCCTTTTTAGCAGACTGGTCACAGCACTTACAGATATGTCCTTTTCATACCACCTAAAGTTTTTTCGGGGAAGAGCTTGACTCATACCCTATCCGTACCTGAAACTTAATAACATTAATATAATGTTATTATTAATTTTATAAATATTATAAATTTTATTAATATTATAAATTAATTAACATTAATATAACAATAAAAAACAAAAAAAAAACTTACAAATTAGTTATTTTCAGTATGGCGTCAAATGATAAACCCGAAGCGGTATATTAAAAACAGGGGCCTAGTCCATAGGTTGATAAACACAGGTCTCTGAAAGCTTCAAATACATCACAAAGAAGGTGTACATCCAACTCATTATCCCAAATAACGTAATCCTAATCTTTGCTCTGATATGCAGACATTACAGATTTGAATTTAGACTTGTCTGAACAAACTAAATTTGCACTAAGCGCATCTAAACTTGACGACATAAATTTAAATGTGTCCTGAAAACGTATAGAAAATTTGTTTGAAATGTACTTTGAAAAAAATATAAACTTTTCTTCGCTATTTGGTACCACGGATAGTGTATGTGCGTCAAAACCCAACTCGCCAATAATGAAACTTTTATCATAATTCATATTATGAGCGAAAACAGGTTCAAATTTTGGTGTCTGTATTCTTAAGTTACATGAATTACATACAGTGTTTCTAAATTTGCCACTTAAATGGTGATGGTTTCGTACGGTATGGTTCCTTTCAGTGAATTGACTTGTACATAATGGACATTTACCTACACTTAAAATAGCGTTATGAACGTTCCAATCCTCCCTTGTCATCGTCATCGGTTGATTTGTTTTGAGAAGTTCTGTGATTAGTAATTTGCGATCTTACCAAACGAGAAAAATTCTTAATGTAGGCATAATGATATTTATCACCATTAGTTGATTCATCATCATTAAACAATAGAATATCGAAATGATTGTTCAACTCTTGATCGTTTATCTTGTAAGGAACAACAATATACTCTTTGTTTTTTGGGGGGTTGTGTATTTTATCGACGTTGCATGTCGGCTCACATATTTTCAACCCATACACATTCACAGAGACACCCGGATTTCCTTTTTCGAATTTTTTGACGTCCTTGACTTCTACTGGATAGTTTAATTCTGAAAAATCGTAGTTAACTGGTGCGTTTAAGTAGTGACTAATTCTGCTTGGATTTGGCGCGTCAACATATTTTGCCATAATACTATATTTAAAACACATCTCATCATTGTTTTTTACATTAATGATTGCCTAACGTGCTTCAATGTTGTCGGGTAGTTTGAAATATGATGAGCCCCCGAGTGGTTTATAACGATACACACTTAGTAATAAACCTTCGACGCTGTCAATTGAAAAGCCCGATCCTTTTGATTGGTAAACTTCTTCTTCGTGCATTAATTTATTAAATTCTTCTTCTAGTATGGCATGCAAATCATTGTCAGCCATACATAGTGTTTGAGCAGAGGTTTTGAAAGACCTATTTTCTATAACTTTTGGTATGGGGGATTAATACCTTAAGATATTAATACCTTGATAATTTGAGGTGGACTGTACGTATAAATGTTTATTATCATAATAGTTTGATAATAATAATGTGTTATTACACTAGCTCTCTGACGATTTTGTTCTGAAATCATGCTGACTAAAATATAAATTAAAATTATTTTTTATAGTTTTATAATTTAAACAACTAAAAATATTATTTAAAACAGTATTTTTTGTAAAAGTATCAAAAAAAAAAAAATTAATCAATATAATATAGAAATAATTTTTTTAAAAAACGTTAAATAATATAACTTAACCATTGTTTTTTCTTAAAGCATAGCATGAAATAAATTAAATTTTATACTTAGTAATACTTACCATCAAAAAAAAAAAAAAATTATAATGAATATTAATGTATTTTTGTAAAACTACCGAAAAATTATCAATTTAATGTAAAAAGAATTTTAAATATATATATTTTTTTTACTTAAGGAAATATTTTTATTACTGCTTTACTAGAAAATATAAATTTAATTTAATTGAATATTTTTACTCACTATGTTTGTTCAAATGTTTTTTTAAATCTCCTAACAAGTATTTAAAATCTGTGTCACAAAATACACATCGGTTTCTTATTCCCAAAAGCGTTTTTTCTTGTCTACGCATGTTTGATCGAGTTCAAAAAGTTCTTACACATTTAGTACATGAATACATGATAAATAATAATAATAATAATGAATAATAAATAAATTAATAAAATAAAATAATAAAATAATGAATAATAAATAAAATTATAAAATTATAAAATAATATTGAATAATAAAAATGTTTATAGCGATACAATGATTACTTGTTGAAAGCAAAGAATCTTAGTTCTCAGTAAGAAACAAAAATCATCTGCGCGTCTGAAGTATACACTGCCGGGTTATATAGTTTCGATGAAGGGGTGTGTGCGTGTGCAGACACCACTATTTTTGTTACCCTCTCTGCATACCTAAAACCACCATTATTACAATGCTTGTAAAATATTGTGTAGGATATGATATAAGATACCATTGTTAATTAATTATTTTTTAAATGATAAGACACATGGTCTTATGTATATATTATTCTTTATTAAAACAAAATATAAAGTTTGTATATTTTTTGACTTAACATAAAAACAATGTTATTAATATTTATAATCATTTATTAATATTTGGCTTAACATAATTGAAGACTCTACATAAAATTTACACACAAAATACTAATTTTTACAAATAGTTTTTGGACTCTATTGCCCGCCATAAAATGTAATTCACATCTGAATTAAAACCGTCATTTCCCCATAGATTTGATGTATCCTTTTCTTGAGGTGATTCGTTTCTTGGTACAACTAATACAAAAAAAAAATATGTTATTAAAAATAAGCTAAGTAACTATGTATTAAAATAACTTACAATGGTATTAGACTGTATTGTGAATATTGACACTTCATTAATTTCGGGAAAAAGATCGGGGCTTGTTCAGTCATCAATGATGTGGTAACAAAGTCCATATGTTCCTTGAGTCTATTAACAGAAATATATTTTTTATTTTGATATAAAAATTAAAAAAAAAAATAATTATACCTACTAAAACACTATAAAATTCATCGTCATAGTATTGAATTCTCAATTCATTATCAAGGAATTCAACTAAATCACCATTGTCGTTGAAATAGACGGGTGAGATCATTTCTGGACGTTCTTCAGGAATATTTTTATTATTTATTGTTATTATTATTTATTTATTTCCAGAAACTGTGTGCTGTTATATACTGGAGTACTCTACAAAAAATATTTATTTCGTTAATAAAAGACATGATGTATATACAAAATTTATTTATTTCGTACAAAATTTGAGGCGTGATATAAAAAATTTATGTTCAATCGTATCAAATGTGCCATTGGCAACCAACCATATGTAAAGGAAAAGAAGCATCCTATTTTTAAGTTGCCCTGCACAGTTATCACTCCAAACTGTTAGATGACGTTTGTAGGAAGAGAGATGTCCTGAATTAATAGCTTGCATTAAACATGAGGCAATTTGGTTCCCTCCTCGCCCTGGTTGCCCCTCATGCCACACGCACATGATGCCATTGGAAGTGTCTGTTACATGAATTCCAAAGTTAAAGCATGAAAGCTGACGACTGTAATACATGCTAGTATGGGATAGTTTAAGCAGTGGGTAGACTTTTTGTAGATCCATAGTAATAGTACACGTTTGACTTCCAGATAATGTACTTTTCGCAGCATCAGCTTTAATAACTTCGGTAACAGCATCGACTTTACGATAGTGTAATTCAAGTTCTGTCTTACCTGATGAGGCTACCAGTACGTTATTGTCCTTTCGTTTAAGATCAAGAGCATCACACGTTTTGCACGTATCCACTCTTGGTCTTTTAAATGAAAGCTTAGGAAAGTCTTTTAAAAAAACAGATCGAAAAAATTTATACGAAATCGTTATCTCAGGATTTTTAACTTTGTAAGCCAAGTATATTCTGTTCATCTTTAGATCCGGACTTAAGTATTCTTTTTCTGACTTGGCCCGACTGTAATGACTTTCGTCTCTGGGAAAGCTATTAATATGGTATTTAACCATTTGCCTGTCCTTTGAAGTAACGTTTTTACCCCACCGCGTTTGTCTTTAAAAGTAGTAAAACCAGCTTTTTTTCTTTTAACAAGAGTTGTCACTTTTTGAAGACTGATAGCAAAAATGTCAAGAAAAGTTTTTTTGCATACCCTTTTGAGCAGCGTTTCCCAAACTTTGGTTTGGGCTGGCCCGGTAATTTATAAAGGGTTTTTCAATAGGGACGCTACAAAACTTTTTTTAAATAAATCAAAAACGGTTTTGGATATCAATGAAATTCTTTATTCATGTGAAAGTACATTCGATGCCATTATGTATGGAACTAGATTTCTTTTGCATGGCCACCACTGGCACGCTTGCAGAAGTCCAGACGCTGAACCCAATTTTCGACGGTTTTCAAGCATAAATCGGCCGATACTGCTGCAATCTCACGTTCGATATTCGTACGAAGTTCATCAATCGTCGCTGGCTTGTTGGAATAGACCATAGACTTGACGTAGCCCCACAGGAAATAGTCTAACGGCGTCAAATCGCACGACCGAGGCGGCCAATTGACTGGGCCATTTCGTGAGATAACACGTTCACCAAACTTGGTTTTCAATAAATCGATTGTGACATTCGCTGTGTGGCTTGTGGCGCCGTCCTGTTGAAACCACAT